AAAAAAAAATTTGGGGGGAATTTTTTGGATTGTTATGAGAAAAAATAACTTGGGTTCAATTAAGCTTCTATGACTTGGGAAATCAAAAATGGAAGGGGCAGCCCCTATTTTAAGGAGAAGAGCTAAGGAAATAAATGAGAGCGAGACTATTGGAATAAAAAATGTTAAGGTTGAAGATAAAATGATGATGGCTGATCCAAGGGCCTGGATTAAGAAATATTTCAGGGAGGCTTCAGATGGAAGCTGATTTTCTTTTGATGGGATTAAAGGGATGAATGATATAAGATTAAGTTCAAGACCAATTCAGGCTGAAAATCACGAGAAGAAGAAACGACCAGGAAGGACCCAGACAAAAGTGAGAACATAAAAATGATTTTATAAGGTGAGAATGAAATTATAAAGAGAGATTACTCTCATAAATGAGGTATGAGCCCATTAGCTTGAAACTTAGCTTATCTTTATAGTATATGTAGAAGTGTACAGGGCACGAAAAGGTTTGATCTTTCGGGGATTGGTGCGATTCCAATTTACATAAAGAGTGTTAGGGATTAAAAGGGGTAAGGGTAGAGGTTGGTCTTAAAGTATCTTGAATTCCTCTTTGAATATCTGTTGTTCTTAGAAGATTTAAGAGGGAAGAGGAGTAAGCTGTCTAAAAAATAAAATGAAAAAGCATGTAAAGGGGGGTGTATTTTTTATTTTAGTATATATATATATATATACATTTCTTTATATGGAAGTGGTGTATTAGGTATAATTGTATGAGTGAGCTGATTTTATCTATACTGAAGCAGAACGATGATATTGAGCTCTACCGATTAATACACCTATAAGTAGAACCCCTCGTGAGAAAGGGGATTCTACTTATAGCTGTATTAATCGTCTCCTTCTAGATTCCCCATTTTCCCACGAAGATATTCCTAACAGATGATCATTGAAGAAGATAAAATGAAGCTGTTACTTCTTTATATTAATTTTCGAAGAGATACACTGAGAAAGAGACATGAGTGTCAGTTGATTATAGCAGTAAACTAACTAATGAGACAGTTTGATATATACAGATTTATTATTATGTGCTAGCTTCAAGTATATAAATACTTAAATGAGATAGATAATAACCTGTGCGAAGATACACTATGAGTATTATATATATAGATTAATGGATTATAGCAATGAACTAACTAATAAAGTGGCTTGATATATATATATATTGTGAGTTATACTAACTTCAGGCATATAAATACTTAAATGAGATAGATAATAACCTGTGCGAAGATACACTATGAGTATTATATATATAGATTAATGGATTATAGCAATGAACTAACTAATAAAGTGGCTTGATATATATATATATTGTGAGTTACTAACTTCAGGCATATAAATACTTAAAGTGAGTATAGATAATAACCTGTGCGAAGATACACTATGATTATCATATATATACTTAATTGGATTATATGATTTACGAGATTATGAATGATTCGAGAAGGATTTACATTTAAAGAAATGTATATATATATAGACATTAAGGAGGATGGGAGAATTCGTAAAATTAAATACGCAGTTTTTATGATGATCGAAGTTTATTTGTTTGAGAGATTAAAGTTGTAGATTCAAAGTAAAGCTAAAGATTAGCATTTCACTTACGTTGAAAAGGTTGTCGCAGGGGTGACTTATTTTGGTTGTTATGAAGACTTGCTAATTATTATGATTAGGAAAAATATTTTTAGGTTTAAGTAGGTAACTAAGGAAATAATAGTTTGGCGATAGATAATAGTACTGTACAGGAAAGTTGAAATATTCTAGTGAAATAGATGGGAAGTATTAGTTAAATTAAGTACCTTGTGTATTAGGGATATTTTACATTAAATATTTTAATATCTTCCCGAAATAAGAAGAGCTAAATTAAAGGTCGAGTTTTTGTGGTAAAAAATTCAAAACCTTATTTTAGTAGTGAAATGTTAATCGAGTCTTAAGATATCTGGTTTTTTTTGAAAAAAATTCAATTTTTTCTTTGCATTAAGGTAAGGCAAGGCTTAGGAACAGAGGGGGCTAGCTCTTTGTTTAATTATTTTAGTTATAAAAATAAATAGAAAGGTATGTTTAACTAGGCTTAGGGGTAGCTATGTTTACAGGGAGTTATATCTGAGATACAAGGAGAGGAGTATTTATTATTTTTTAAGTAGGTAGGAAAGACTTTTTATGAATTTAGTTTAAAGATTTAAAGTGAGTATATTAGTATATAATTTGTTTGTTTTAAATAAATTTTGGAGAATTAATGAGATTTATTGAAGGGGTGATGAGTGTAAGGAATTCGGCAAATAGGGCTCTTCCGCCTGTTTATCAAAAACATGTCTATATGAGAGTTATATAAAGTCTGACCTGCCCATTGGGGACTAAAAGGCCGCGGTTATTTTGACCGTGCGAAGGTAGCATAATCATTAGTCTTTTAATTGGAGGCTGGAATGAATGGTTGGACGAGAAGGAAGCTGTCTCTATCTCGGAGATTGAATTTAACTTTTAAGTGAAAAGGCTTAAATAAGTTAGAGGGACGATAAGACCCTATAAAGTTTATACATGAAGTTGGTTAAGAGTGATTTAAGGTGTTAAAGTTTATTATCAGCAGGGTGTTTAGTTGGGGCGACTAGGATATAAATTATATAACTGTTTTTTGTTTAAATCAGAGATATTTGTTCATATGGTCCCTTTTTAGGATTAGAGAATAAATTACTTTAGGGATAACAGCGTAATTTTTTTAAGAGTTCTTATCGACAAGAGAGTTTGCGACCTCGATGTTGAATTGAAAATTTCTCTGTGGTGTAGCGGTTACAGGAGAAGGTCTGTTCGACCTTTAAATTTTTACATGATTTGAGTTCAGACCGGCGAAAGCCAGGTTGGTTTCTATCTTCTAAGGAGTTAGAGGTTATTTTAGTACGAAAGGATTAAGTAATTGAAATAGTTTTAATAAAAAATCAGAAAAAATCAGAAAAAAGCAGGGACTTTTCTTTAATCTCCAAAATTAATATTTTAAGTAAACTATTTTCTGTTAGAATTTTGAAGGTCGCAGAGGTCTTGATGAGATACTAATAATACTAACAATAACAATTAAGGTAAGTAAGAGATATAAAATTACTAGAGTAGTAAGAGGGAAAGAAGTAATGGAGTAGATGGAACTGGTTGATAAGGTGGCTAAATTTGTTTTATTTCTTAGAATTAAGAATAGTCTAGATTTGGAAAATTTTGATGGGAGAAGTAAGAGATCTAGAAAGATTAAGGTAAAGGATATGGGTAAGGTAGAGTGATTAGTAGACTGGATTTAAAATGAATTTTAAAGGCTTCGTTGGAAGCAAGAGAAGAGACATAAATGAACAAAATTAATATTCCTCCTAGAAAAATTAGAAATAGGATATATGAGAATCAGTAGGAAGGCCTGAATAGGCCTGAAAGAGCACAGATAAGAATAGTTTGAGTGAGTAGGACTAGTCCTATGGAAAGAGGGTGGGTTAGAGTCGTGAATAGGATAGCAACTCTTAGGGTAAGAGGGAGAGATGAAATATAAAATATTATAACTGATTTTGTATAAAGTTCTAAAAATGGGCTTTATCTTTGGTTTACAAGACCAAGATTTTTTGTTTAAACTACTAGAACCTTTCAATTTAAATAGTTTAGAGTAAAACATCGGGTTGTGGTATCGAAGATATAAGAAAGTTATTTTAAATCATGATGTGGGGTGCCTATAGTCATTTAGTGAGTTTGGTGTTTTTGTTATTTAGGGCATTGGGTTTTATTTTATTTAGTTTGGTGAGAATAAGCTTGAGGTCTTCTTATGTAATTGAGTGAGAGCTTTTTCTTTAAAAATTTTTCCTCTGTTGTAGTGACTTTGATTTATGATTGAGTAAGGTTCTTATTTTTAGGGGTGGTTTTATTTATCTCCTCTACGGTAAATATTATAGGGGGGGTTATTGAGCGGGGATAAGAGGTACAGGGATTATATATTTAGTTTTTGGTTTTGTTTTAATCTATAGGGGCTTTGATTATTAGCCGAATTTAATTAGAATCCTTTTAGGTTTGGGTGGATTGGGGTTAATTTCTTTGTATGGTAATTTATTACCAAACGAGAAATCAGCGAATGCAGGTATATGACAGTTTTGTCAAATCGGATGGAGACGTTGGGATTTTATTGAGTATTTCTTTATTTTTTAAGCAGGGGGTTGAAATTTTATAATTAATTTTTTATGATGAAAGGTATTTGCCAGTGGGAAATTTTTTATTACTGAAAATTTTAGTGTGTGTTGTGCTATAACTTAAGAGAGCTCAAATTCGTTCTCGGCTTGGAACTTCCAGCAGCTATTAGCTGCTCCTACTCCAGTTTCGCTTTAGTTCATTCTTCCCAACACTAGTTAAGCTGGCGTTTATATTTGATTCGCTTTAGTGGGGCTTTAAGAGGTCATGTGTACAAAGGTTCGTTGTTGATTGTTTCCTGATTACCATATTTATAGCGTGCTTAGGGGATAATTTTGAGTTTGATTTGAAAAAAACTTATTGCCTTGTCAACTTTGAGGCAATTAGGCGTGATAGTGAGTATTTTATCTTTTAGGGGGTTTTGCTGATTTAGCTTTTTCATATATTAACTCATGCTTTATTTAAGGCTTTTCTGTTTATGTGTGCGGGGAGATGGTAATTCATAGACGTTAAAGAGTGTCAAGATATTCGTAATTTATTGGGCAGGTAGGTTAGTGACATGAATGTATTACCTTTTAAATAGGGTTTGCATGAATTTAGCTAACTAAAGGCTCTATGTGGGATACCTTTCTTGGTGGTTTTTATTCTAAAGATTTGATTTTAGAAGTTGCATTTTTAAGGGAAGTAATATTTTAGATTTTTTTTTATATGTTTTGAGTACTGGCTTACAGTATGTTATACATTTCGATAATTTACTATAGAATAAGAATAGGTTTCTAATATAGGTCTTGTAATAATTGTCAGGGAAAAACCATAGAAAAAATTGTTAAAAGGAATAATGACATTCAAGGGTGGGGCGGTAAAGGGGGGTGTGTATTAGCTTGAGTAGTGTTCCCAGAGTTCTATATGATTTGTTTGAGGGTTCCCTTTAAAATTTTAGCTTTATTAGTGAGGAGGTTAGGGGGCCCCTTTTAGGGGTATATTGTTAACATGGTTGGATCAAGGACTAGTTAAAGACTGTAAGTTTTATTTCTTATACTATGTTTGTAAGGGTCTATGTGGGTTTATGCCGATATTGTCGAACTTTTAGGGGACACCCGTTGAAGATTAAGGAGTGCGGAGTCTTTTTTTATGATTGGAGATAAAGGTTGGTCAGAATATTTTGGGGGATGAGGAGGATTTGGCGAGGTGATAAAAGGTTCTATTTACTTGCAGTTAAGACAAGATTAATATGATTATAGTTTATATAAAAGGTTTTTTTATTTGAATTATTTTGTCGTGTTTTTTATTTTTATTTAATTATAACCTATTATATTTTAAATTAGAATTTTGCATGAAGCTGCAAAGGTGGTATTAGCCTGTAGGTGATATTTTTAGAAGGGAATTCTTCAGTTTTAACATTGAAATGTAATGTGTGTTTTACACTATAAAAAAAAGAGAAGTGAAACGGAATTCAACCGCTCGGGAGGAAATAAGTTAGATGCTTTTTTCCACTGACGTAGTTCTCCTGTGACAGGAAAAATTCAATTTATCATTACAGTAATATGGCCCTCTGGTTTTGGCTTTACTGTCAAAAAAACTAGAGGTTTGGAAACCAAATTTTAGGTTCGAAAACCAAACGCATTCTTTCGCTTTCTAATTTTGAAAAAGGTTTATAAACACTTTATGAATGCAACTCATATGTCTTTATTGACTCATTTCAGTTAGTTCATTCTAAGGCACCTTTATACCATTCATAGTAGGGCCTATGAGAAGGATTAGGAGGAAAAAACAATCCTTGTAATCTTCAGAGAAAATATTTGTAAGCGGGAGAGTATGGCAGGAGAGGGAGAATTAATGTAATTTCTACATCAAAAATTAGGAAAAATCACAGGCAATTAAGGAAAAATCGCCGAAGAGTCCTAAAAGGTGTAGCGAGCTGAAGTCTAGATCGGAATCCACAACTCAATGGAGAATATTTTTTTCTCGGTCTATAACGGTTTTTTTCGATTAGAAATGAGGATAAGGCTATATTAAAGTTGTACTCTGAGAGTGAGAAGCAGCGATCAGGTTGGTTAGTTAGAATTAATTTTTCTAAACAATTAGACTTTCTAGTGGAAGCTATGAACGTACCGTTAATACTAAAAAATTATCTCCCTCATCAGTATAAAACATAAAGGAATAATAAAAATACATCAACGAAAATTCATACCCAAGCTGCGGCTTCAAATTCCAAAGTGGTGGTTGTTAGAAGAAGTGACATTTGAATAGGCGATAAAAACAGACTGTTAGGAATGAAGTCCCAAATGATCACATGAAGACGTGGAATCCAGTTGTGCTACAAAGAAGGTGTCCCGTAACTGAGTTGCATGGAGAAAAGATGCTTCTAAATATTCATATGCTTGAAGGGAGGTGAATGAAGTAAATCCGAGGAGGATGGTTAATCCTAGACTTTGTATAGACTTCGTAATGGTGTGAGTTAGGATTGCGTTGATGTGTTCAAGTTACTGTTGCCTCCGAATGGAAAGTAGAATAGTTGTATAAGAAGGGGAACTTGGAAAGGATTGAAAGGTTGGAATACCTCTAGGTTGGTCAAAATATTCCGATTTCAATTGTAGGTGCAAGTGGGGGGGGGGGACTTTCAATGAAAGAAATGCCCAAAAAAAATGAGAGAAAAATAGTACTTCAGAGGACGATAAATAAAATTATCCCCAACCGGGAGGCCTTTTGTGACGGCTTGGGTATGCGAAGTCCTTGAAATGTTCCCTCTCGAGTTACATTCTCGTCACCATTGAAATATTACATAGTTAAAAAGTAGGAATGAATCTGAAAAGTGGGAGGTCTGGATTATTAAATTGATGAAATCATTGATGAGCCCTGATGTTTTAAAAGCATAGCTCTAATTGATCCGGTTCAGGGTCAAGGTATTATGTCACTGAATGAAAGGTATGGTGGCTATGTGATGACATTAATTTACTTCACTGGCATAAAGAGTTCTGAAGAACTGCAAATACATAGGATTGGATGATTGCAACCAGCAGATTCTAGTCTAAGGAAGAAGGAATTTCTGGGCAGAATGAGAAATTAATAGCTTAGGGGATAAAGAGACACTATCTTCCAAGTAAAGTAAAGAGGAGGTGACCTGCAATTATGTTTGCTGCAAGTCGGATGGCCAATGTGCTGGTTCGAATTATTATTCACTAATAGGTTTCGATGAGGGACTATAAAAGGTAATAAGCGTATTTTGGGTCCATTGAGGCACTAGTGGGACAAACATGTGCTGGGTGTGGTTTTAACCATCCAAACAAAATAAAGGTTAGCCATAAAGGTAGAGCTTAAGGTTTTAGGTTATTGCAGATGTTCTGGATTGAGTAAAGATATAAGAAGGAGGCCCTAAAGAGTTATTAAAAAGAATGAGCTAAATAATGAAACAAATAAAAATGAATAGGCCTGGGTTAGAGGGTCCTAAGATTGTCTTAAAATTCATTGTGAAGGGTTGATAAATTTTAAATCCAGATTAAGTCACCGGGAGGATGGGGAGGGTTCAGTAGAGAATCGGAAACGATAGGAACCCTAAGGAATGTTGAGACTCAGTTTAGGTTTAAGTGAAAGGATACATGAGGATGGTTCAAAAAATGGGAAACAGTCTTGCTATCATTTTCAGGGTTTTTCTAGGAATTGTTGATGTGTGGGTTGAAAAGTTTCTGTTTTAAATTGGAAGTTTTACAGAAGAATTAACGTAGAATAAGATATACCCAGGGTTTTATAAGAAAGAGATTTAGCCAAAGTAGAGGTCCTAATTTGAGGCATTCTAAAGTACCATAAGAGTGGTAATTTTAATTTGACAAAACTAATGTTATTTTTTAAACTAATTTTAGTCTCTAGAAGTAGGAGGACTACTTTTTTAGGTTTAAAAGACCTAAACTTTATAAGTTATCTGGAGGAGAAATTTAATTATGAATTTCTAGAAAACTCAGTTCAAGAAAGAGTCTACCGAAATTCTTTCAATTAGAATTGTATATAAATCTATGGTTAGCCCCAACAAATTACGGAAATTGACCGTGAATAGGCCTGGTCGGTTTAGAAGAAACCTAACTTGATTAAGTCGCCCTGGGATGGCGTCGGCTTTTACTCCTAAGGAAGGAATAGTTCAGGAATGGGATACGTCTGCTGCTGAAATGATTAAGACGAATTTGTGTATTTAAGGGGATAGGGATTGGTTGTCAACATCTAAAAGTCTTATATTTGGTCTATGTTATGGGTGCTATGAAGGAATCAAATTCGATATCTAGAAAGTTTGAATATTCGTAGGATCGTATCTTTTGATGGTCCAATGGTTTTAATTGTGACTCTCGAGTTAATGGTTTTCGTCCAATAAGTAGATAACACGTAGTGGGGTTATGGCGATGATGATTAAGATAATTGCAGGTTTAAAATAGTTCAGATAATTTTCAATTTCTTGGTTTTCAAGTAAAAAATCGGTTAATAAGTGAGTTAGTGCTCACTGAATTAATTAGCATATAACCTACTAATGTTAGAGTAATGAGGATGAGAATAAATATTGTGTATCGTGGAAATACGTTTAATTGTTCTATAAGTGGGGAAAGCACTGTCTTGGAGTCCTAGGCATCCTCATGTTGGCATTTCTAAAAGAAGGTAGTTTCTTCCTGGTAGGAGGTTAAATACTATACATCTTCTGTCTTTTAGATAGTTAGAAATATTAGAGGGGTTTCTGCCAT